ATCCATGAAGAACAACCTTTTACTCTCGTAACTAACCGTAAACAAGCGAAAAGAAGACTTAGTCAAACTGAAGAAACTAGCGATATAGAAATACAAAATACAGCAAAAGGAAAAGAAAAAGAAGAAAGGGAACTTTCAGACAATGAAGAAGTCAACTCAGTTTATTCTGATGGAAGTGAAGAATCTATACATGCAGAATGGAGGAAAAATGCTGGCCTTAAATGATATAGAGCGAGAGCTCCAATCTCCAAATTCGTTGGAAAAAATATTGGTCAAAAATTAGCCTAGCTCGCACAAGAACTAAAGGAAAAAGTAGAATATACCTTTATTAAAGTCGAATTAAAGAAAAAAACAAGTGAAAGTTGTATCGCAATTTACTTCAATAAAAAGGAGGAATTAAAAAAGGCTCTTGACCTTGAATTTCAAAATGATAACAAAGAAATGTTTAAATTAGAAGAAAAAGTACTCAATAGACAAACAAAAAATAAGGAGTACATGCATAAACAAGTTATTATCTGAAATTTACCTGTAAATTTAAAAAAACAGGAATTGAAGGCTGAATAAAGCTCCTAATGAGCCAAGTCAAGCCAAGTTACATAAGATTTGGCTTGAGCTCAAATATTTAAATTTGGCTCGAGTCAAGTTTTAAATCCAATAACTTAACTCAGGCCAAGCCGAGTTTATATAATAAAGCTCGGCTTGGCTTGGCTTGGCTCATGGCTCATGAGCTTTACAGTGGCTCGCGAGCTTTATAGTGGCTCGCGAGCTTTAGAGTAGCTCGCGAGCTTTATATAGTAGCTCGTGAGTTTTAATAATAGCTCAAAATTTTATAGCAGAAATCCTTCACGGACGTTTTGCTTTAAATGTGAATAACTCCACGAATATCGATGCCTTAAAAATGAAACATATATCATTTTGTAACCAATAACAAGGCCTTTCTTTCTATCTTAGAAATACCTTAGTAGAAAATCGCTCTACGCTTCGTAAATCGCGAGAAAATGCATTAGAAGATAACTAATTTTATTTATTTTGAAAAATGTGAATATCTTTACGAATATTAACTTAAATCGTGTGAAAATTTAATTATAACTATTTCTAAATATGTTAAACATCTTTAATTAGTAACTCAAACGTGATATGGAAAGTAGTTTTAAAGTTCGTATACGATTAAAGGTTTTATAAATAGTTTTAAAAATTTTAATTAATACATTATTATTGTTTCAATTTTGAATAAAAATATATGAAATTTGTACAGAAAGTTTTTTCTTATTATAATTTTTGCATTATTATAGTGAATAAAATCATTTATGTATAATTAAATTTTCAAATTATTTATAAATTCTTAATTATAAAATACCAGATATAAATAAAAAAATTAACTTATTTGATATTTGAATTTTGTTTTTATTGTATTTATATTTTTATCAATTAACATGTTAATATTATTTTTTACATTTTAAATCATATAATTAAAATAATTAGATAAAAAAAATTTTCAAATTTTAAAAAATTCAAATTTCTAAATTATTTATATCCTCTAAATTTTCAATATCAATTTTTCCAAATCCAGTTTTTAACCAATTTTTAAGACACATTGCTTCATGTATAGTGTTACCTTTTAAACTACATCTCCTTTGGGTAACCAAATCAGTTCCTCCAGAAAAAACTCTCTCAATTGGAGCACTAGTTGCAGGAATAGCTAAATAATCTCTAGCCATTTTACTAAGATAAGGAAATTGGATTTCACGACCCTAAAATAAATTTTATATAGCAAAATTAGTGTAAAATAATATTTTATATGCATTAATTATTAATTTAATAACTATACCTTCCACCATAATAATATATCACACTTGCTATTTGCAACTTCTTCTCCTAAATATATTTTTAATTCATCATTTGATTCTGTTCTTTTTTTTTTGAATACATGATCCAAGAGATCATCAGGTTCATCAGATTCTTCTATAATTGGATCTATATTTTTATAATATCTGGTCCAAATATCTGTTATTGTTCTTTTTGCTGCAATTATATAATGATTCTCCCATTTATTATCAGCATAATATTGTAATTTTAACCTAGGATCTAATACTTTAATATAACAATAAAAGATATTAATACAATAAAAAATATTAAACAATAATAAATAAAATAAAATGTATAAATTTAAACTTACTGGTTGCAATAATATATACCTCCCCATCAGTTGTTGGATAATATAATTTGATTTTTTTTTCAGCTAATTTACATGCTTTTTTTATTGTTTCATTTTCATTCATTTCTATTTCATCTTCTAATTTATCTAATAAATAATTGTATACAGGTACAGAAAAGGATAAAGTGGAATATTTTTGACCAGTTATGTGATCACTTGCTTTTTTGAAAAACTATTTAAAAAATTAAATTTTTAAATAAAATTTTAATAATTACATAAATTATAATTACATAAATTATATTAATTACATAAATTACATACTTCCAATATTTTATATATTTCTTGAATATTGTCCCATTCTTCTTCACTAAGCAGATATTTTCTAAGGTCCCTGTCAGAGGAGGACACATTGTGAAGTGCCTATAAAATTTAAAAAATATAAGTATATTTTTAAAATATAATTATATTTTATTAATTTTGATCTCGGGTTACGCGTTACGATCATCACGTGACACGTGATCACGAAACCCGAAATCAAATTATTCATCAAAATACAAACTTGTTTGAGCTTGAGGGCCCTTTCTATCATTAATTCAGTAGAATTCCATCTAGTTTTGACATCAGGAATAAGTTCTAATAAAGGAAGACTTGCAACTGAACATTGTTGTTTAAAATTTTCCCTCCTTAAAGGTGAGGATCTGATTTTAATTATCAGTTTTCTTAACTAAATTAATAAAATATAAATATTAATTATAAAAAAAAAATTAATTATAAAATAATATTAATTTGAAATTTACCTTGTAAATAGTATTCTGTAGACTTTCATTTGTTTCTTCTCTTTCATCAATAATATTTTCATCATCTTCTAACCCTGATGCATTTAATCCTTCCAATGCATCTTTAGCAGCCAGATTAATAATATGAGCCAAACATCTTACATGTTGATTCTGAGGTTCAAAAGAGATATTGAGGTCATTTAAGTAATATGAAATTTTAAATAGCATAGAATTCATATTTGATGCATTATCACATGTTATTGCTAAAATCTGTAATTAAAATAAATTATTATTATTTTTTATAAAATAAATTCATTAAAGAACAACAAAAAAATAATACCTTTGTTGAAATATTAAAATCATTTAAAACTTCTAAAAACTTTTTAGCTAAATTTTCACCAGAATGAGATCCAGGCAAAAATGAAAAATCTAATGTGGAACTGCATATTTTCCACTCTTGATTGATCCAGTGTACAGTAATACCAAGAAAAGGAAGAGTATTTTTACTTGTCCAAGCATCAATTGTAAATGACAATTTACTAGGAAGTTCCTATATTAAACATAGATATTAAAAATATATTACATTAATTAAAATTTATTAAAATAACTTACCTGTAATTGTTGTCTCACATTATTTTTAATCTGATTAAAAATAACAGTCAAATCTGCACGTACAGTATCAGCTGAAGGAATTCTTACATCAGGATGCAATAATTTTATCATTTTTTTAAATTCATCTTCCTCCACTACAGTAAATGGATGATCATTTACCACAATCCATTCAATTAATCTTTTTCTAAAACCTTTTTGAGTAAACTATAAAGAATGCAATATTTTAATTATAAAATTTTTATATAAATTAAAAACAAAATAAAAATAAACATACAGTTTCTTTTATTGATCCAGTAACATATTTATTCATGGGTCCAATTCCTGAACTCTCTCTACTTAATGGATGGACTTTTTTAATATGATTATGAAGGTTTGTAGTAGATTTATCTGAAAAATTTGCCCTATAATATTTAACTAAAGTTAATAATCAAAAATTCAAACTATAATAATTATTATAATTATTATAATTATAATATTTCACTTTAATAAATGATAAATTCTTGCCTGCATTGTTTACAATGCCACCTTCCATCTTTTCCAAAAGTAAATAACTTGTAAATTGGAGAAGTTCTTTTTTTTACAGAGGAAGATACAGTCCCATTTTCTTGGGTATCATGCATTTCAACATCAGCAACATCAGACAAGTTATCTCCAAGATTTGACATTTTATTGTAATAATGTAAATGAAGAATAATTATATTTTTAATTTGAAATTCTTATTTTTGCATTCAGTTGAGCTTAATCACAAATGAATAAAATAATAAGCTTCGCGATAGAATTCTAACTACTAGTATATGTTCAATAAAAACAATAAAGAGAGTGGGTAATTTTGAACAAGAGGTGAGGAAGGGGTAAAATAATATTATGGTGAGGTGGAGGTAATTTTTCTACACTGCTTTGTTCAAGAATATTGGTAGTTTACTAACGAAGTTGTCCTTTTTCTTCTTCAAATCAGCTGTTTTTCCCTTAGAATCAGCGGTGTGGCGCAGTAACGGCGATTTAGAGATGCAAGAATAAAAATAAAGCAAGTAAAAGAAATATAAAGGTGGTGAAAAGGTTTCTACAGTTTAAGAATAGTGGTAAAGGTAGTAAATAATATTAGAGATGGTGAGGTAAAGGTTGGGTTTCTCTTTTTACAAAGGTTAAAGAGTAAAATAGGTAGATTGTGCAATTTCGAATTTCCCAAAGTAAATAAATAAAACAAGAAAAATATTGAAGAAAACTATTAATATAGAAGTGTAGAATAAATAAGTAAGGTAAGGAAAATAGTAGAAAAGGTAGAGAGGAAATAAAATAAATTTTTTTAATAATTTCGTCTGTCGTTTGTTCGTCACCGGGTGCATTCTATGATATGATAATGAAGGTGTGATAATAAACTATTAAAATAGGGCGTGATAATTAAACGTCTGATCAAAAATTAACTACTATATAAGCTCGTGAACTACTATATAGACTCGCGAGTCACTATATGAGCTTGTGAGCCACTATAAGCTCGCGAGCAACTATATAAGCTCGCGAGCCACTATATAGGCTTGCGAGCCACTATAAGCTCGCGAGCCACTATATAAGCTCGCAAGCCACTATATAAGCTTGCGAGCCACTATATAAGCTTGCGAGCTGCTCGAGCTTTGAGAGCCAAGCCTTAGTTAGGCTTGGCTCGTGAATTTTTGGCTCACGAGCTTATGAGCCTATAATACTAGACTTGGCTCGGCTTGACTCGACTCGGCTCGTTGGGCTCGCGAGCTTTAATACTCATTCGGAGCTTTAACTGTTATTATGGGTTTCCTCCACTTTCATAATTTCCTATTATTTTATTTTATTGTATTCTTATTTGTATTTATTTTAATAGTATAGTTATTTAGTATATTTTAGTATATTTAGTATATTTTATTTATTAGTATTTATTTATTTAAAAGCATAATACGAATTATGTAAATCAATAATGTAGATCATAGTGGCCTAGTTACTGGTCAATTTACTGACCAATTTA